GTTGCCATGCTGCAAAGGAATGAAAGATGAAAGAAAAAGTTAGAAGGGAAAGTCTATGCTTGAACTGATATCTATTTTGTACCATTGCAGGTGCCTTGTTTATGCATATATCTCTACAAAAATAAATTACTAGTGTTTAAGTATGCGCACATAGAAAAATGTGCTTTGTCACTCAGTGATTGATTATAAATTAACTATTCCCACACATGTGTCTCTTGAGTGTAAAATTAAGAAGATGAAGTCACTGTTTCTTACAACTACATGAAACTATTGTGAAACTATTGAATGAGCCACCAAGGTTAAGAAGATTTTCTATATGTGGGGTAACAAATTAGATTACCATAGATTTTCTAGATGTGGAAATTAGGATGGGACTGACTTGCTAAATTAATTCTGACTTATTTCTAGGATAGGAATGTATACTCTCATTAAGCCAAAAAAATATGTTTAAAATGTGACTTAGAGAAAAAATGTGAAATAGCTTTGAAACCAGAGACTTACTTGACCTCTTATTATTGTTTCCCCAAAACAATGACAAAAGTTACACACTTGACTCAGTGAGTAAATACCAGCTCAGCCATGAGAGTACTGTTACTGAGATTCCAGAGCTCCTCTCTTGGGACCTTCAATAAGATGTTCATATTTTTTTCTCATTTTGATATAGAAAATGCTTACAGATACAGAGATCTATCAGTAAGTTAAAGGCATCTCATCAATTATGTGAAAGAAGGCAAGAGGGAGGGAGAAAGCCCTTGTTGTTAGCTCATGCTGGGTCAGATCATTCTGTTTGTGACAGCTGTACCCATTGCTACTCTTGTGGCCTTGAACAACTAACCTGATGGTGGCTTAAGTGCCTGACAATAAAGTATAGTATAGTATAGTGTAATGTGATGTAATATAATATAATATAAATAATATAGTAACAACCTCTTGGGTTTTTGGGAGGACTAGCCAGGTATCTATATGCACAGCTCTTAGCACAGGATCTGATCCTTAGTAAGTGTGCGAATTTAAGTGTTGTTATTATGTTTGTTACTAAGATAGCAATAAAATGACTGTTGTTTTCTCCTATGTGATTTATTGCATACCAGTAAGTAATTGAAAGCATCAACTGAATTTGACTCTAATCTCTTAGATTTGTTGGTCTTTACCTAAATACAGGAGGAATTCACTGATTCTCTTGCACCTCAGTACAAGATCTAGCATTGGGATAAAATAGTTATATTTTTCCAGAGTAACTTAATAGTTGGTTATACTGGCGCATATGTGGGAAAGACTTGAAAAAAAAATACTATTATTGACTTTTATTGTTATTCTTGGTGTGTGAGAGATGTGTCAAGGAAGAGAGGTTGACTTTTTAGAGGATTCTTTTTTAGAAACAGAAGCCTACTTAACTTGTGATCTAATTCTGTTGTTCAAAGTACTCAAAGGATGACATTTTCAATCAGTTGGCTTGCTTGCATCATAAACTTTTAAAAATCGTTCATGAAAGTGCCTTAATCAGCTTGATGCTATGGATACTGAATTGTCACTTATAGGTCCCTTACATTACCCTTTAATATGGGCTGTGAGCATGGGCGTGAGGGGTGGTACAACTCCTATTTCTCAATATTTGTGGCCAAATTAAAAGATTTAAGATGGATATAAACTTAAGTGAATATGTACTGTGCCTCCAAAGCTGACAAAAATTACCAGTAAATATTTTTGGCTTGTGAAAGGACACCTTGTACAAAAATTAGGTCTATTGAATATTAACTGGCTGGGTTCATTACTCTAATTGTGCAAAGCACACACAAGAGGAGGGAGAGGAAAAGATCTGTATTGTGAGAATAGCAGGGCAGATTATAGTAGTTGGCCTGGAGATTCACTTCTGTTTTTATGAGCTGTGATTGTTGACATCAGCCTTTCCCTTCCTGCACATTTCATTCAAAATATTTTTAAATGATAGACTCAGTGCTTGTGCTTATGAGTTTGATTAGGAGAGCTACTGTCAAGCAGCATCTCTCCAGAGTAGCATTCTCATCCCCTCTCTGTGTGATTGGCCGACCTCCTGACAGTGACTTTGATGGTAGTTTTTGCCTTAATTGATAAAATTTATTCTGAGTAACAAGCGCATAGGCGTATGCATATCATATGTATATGTGTACATGTGCTCAATGGCATAAGATGTATGCCCAAATTATAATCATGAAAGTTGCATGATATCAAAATGTTTGTCACAACATAAATACACAGTAACATGTCACTAAGATTGATGACAACATAATTTCATTTACCTCTTGGGAATCAATTGAGCTATCGATTCTGTAACAAATGTGTTTTGATTAAGATCATGGCAAGATAGGATTGACAGCAGTTTCAAAGTATGCGTTTATTGCACATTTCACGTGTACAGTCAACTGAGATTGTATGCACATGATTTTAGTTCAGAAAGATAAATCCATCAGTATTTTGTTCCAAGGACTGTATCCGTAATGCTCTACAGTTACGAGGCTCTCTTTAAAAATCACACACTTTTCTGTAAGATTTGATGGTTTGATTGATGTTGAGTGCTTATGTTTATTCTGAAAAGGGTTAGAATCATCAATAAAGAGATAAATAGCTTCAATATATATTTGCAATATAGCTGTCAGGCATAAGGGCAGATTGAACTTGCACTAGTGTAAGAGTTTAATAGTTAAGACTTGGTTCCTTACCCACGAACATTGTCATTTATGGTTTTTTAACGGTTGTGATTATGGATGCTCTTGGGAAATCATGGGAAGAAATACTCCCAGGGGAAACTAGTTTCTTAAAAAAATTTTGAAAATATGTTAATTTTCACTTGAAGCTAAAAATACATACCTTATCTTTAGCACATCGAGAAATTTTTCAAGACCAATGATATAAAAAAACTACCCATCATAATAAAATCTAGTGATATTTAAATATGCTAAATGAAACATGAACCCGGTCATATTTTCATGATTTATCAGTTTTTAACTTCAAAGACTTTGGTTAGCTTGCATTTTTTAAACTAATGAGTTTATCACAGCCGGTGAAGAAAATGGTTAAAGTATATCAGCTGTAAATTGGTACAAAGCACTAAAAGGGACATTAGCCTCTAATCAGATTCTAACAGTTCATTAAACCTGCCTTTCCAGAGTAGCTCTTTGTCTTTTCCCCTCCTTTGCAAGGCTTGTTCTTTCCTTTTTGTCTGGGCAAGACCTCCTCCAGGGTAGGAAGCAATATCAACTCATCCTTCATTGTCTACCCACCGAACAGCTTAGGGGATGCTTTGTTGCCTCAGATTCCTGGCTCTGCTGGGAAAGGCAGGGGATGGGGGGCTGGCTGCTGCAGGGAAGGCTTTCCTGAGATCTGTGGTAGCAGCCAGGCCGGCTGCCTCCAACTACAGAAGCAAGTGACACACTGGGAAGTGAGCTCTATGTCCGATGTGAAGCAGCCCACCAGCCTCAGTGAAAATGTTTTTGCCTTGAAACAAATTCACTGAGCTCACTACTATAGTTTCCTTCTGCTCTAAGTTATCTGTTAGAACGCAAATTGCTTTAAAAATGTGGACACATCAAAAGCAAAAAAAAAAAAAAAAAGATAAGTATATCCTGCCAGTTTTAATTATATTGTACATTTCTAAGAAAAGAACATGATAGTGATTTGTTTCCCTCCTTTTATTACCTAATAAACTAGGTAACAAGGAACTTTTAAATGCTCACTGGTTAATTCTAGAGTAAATCTGCTTTTTTTTCTTGTTGATTTCTCTGAGAAAAAAAGCTCTGATAAGAGACCCTATAAATTCTCTGTCTCTTGGGTTATTTTTCTTAAACAAAAAAGAAGAATCAAAAAATGGAAAAATAATTAGAGCTTCACGATACTGCACTCTGTTGGTATTATTTAGTAATAAAAGCACTTAATTTATTATTTGTTGAGATTTGGTAGAAAAATAACTGTATGGAAAGGGAAAAGCTGAATGTTTAGAAATATTAACCTTGATTGCCACGTAGGTAAAATATGTAGAAATCAATCTTTTAAAAAGACCACTTTAATGCCATGCATTTATGTGCTATAATTGAGCAAAAATAATCATTCTTCATCTCAAATGTAGTCATTTTGGTTTCTTAGTCTGTGGCTGAGGGTAAAGTTGACATTCCAAACATGTTTTAAAACATGAGCCTGAATTTGGCCTAAAGCATGCACTACTACATGGCTTTCGAATTCTCTTCATAGATTATTGACTTCAGAAAAATCCCCAAAGCAGTGAAAATTAGTAGAAAATGACCTTGATTTAATCTGTTTATAAAAGGTGTTTGAGATTCTATTGAGCTGTTATAGAAATAAGGTTTTCTTTTGATAAATTTGAGCCAAACGCATACCAGAATAGAAAATGAATTTTCATTTATTATTGGTTATGACTTCAGTTTAAGAATTGAGGTTTTATCTGCAATTCATGTCCATTGATTTTAAAGTAGATGTCTTTTATTAATATGGCATCGTTTGATTTGATTGTCATGATTCCAAAATGTAGTGTGCCTAGAACTTTATTACCTGATTTAAAAAATTATCTGAATGTTAATATTAACATGAGAGGATATATAAATTTGTATCTGTTTTCTGTTTTATACATTTCTGTATTTAAAACAATCTCCAGAACTAAAGAAGAATGAAAAGTACCTTATATTTCATTCCATGGTGGCAAAAGTACAATGACTTGTTCCAGCCCCATATAAATTAATGTAAAGCTCCCTTCAGTTTATTACAGTCTGACCTTCAACCCAAGGGTCAGAGAATCAGACTGATTAATTCAACTTCTTGGTCATTATTTCAAATGAAAGTTCAGAATGTGGGGGGGGGGAATAATTGGTTATGCTGATACTCTCATTTAATTAGACTTCATTGTTAAAAAATTAGGTTAGCAGGGCTAAATGCACTACAATGAAAGAAGTCTACCAGATGTCCCCTTTTGAATGCTCTATAGCTAAATTTCATTCTTTCTTTTTTATTGTCAGAATATCAACACCTTTGAGAACAGAATGTTAATGCTTGATGGGATGCCGGCAGTCAGAGTCAAAACAGAGCTTCTGGAATCTGAACAAGGGGTAAGCAGAAGTTGATGATGCTCTTCTCTGTGACAGTAGCTATCATCCTCAGAGCATCCTGAGCTTTGCAGATACTTCAGATTCTTCCCTTGCTTGAACTTTTCTCTTTTGAGTGAAAGTCACCTGAGAGTAATGCTGATTGTCACCCATTTGCAGCCTCAGATTTTACAAGCTTGGACAAAAGCACTGCCTGAAATTGGGAAGGCATAGTGGTCTGCTAAGAATCAACATGACTATTAAAATTGGTGAATGCGTTCTTTCAAAATTAGGAAATAATAGAGCTCAGTGTGGGAGTGTTACTGTTTATTGGGTGGATTTCTCTTTTGAGGTTTGCATTTACTTTTTTTTACTTCATGAAGAATAGTGGGCAGTTGATAAAACTGAGGTCATGGGTTAGAGAGGTGCATAAAAGCAAAAGGTTATAGGCAAATGGATGGATTAGGGTCTGACTAATGTAAAGTCTTAAGGTATAGCTAGATTTTTAAATTAAGGTATAAGAGATTTGATCATTGTTAGTTCATAAAGCTTTACTAATTAAAAATGATAAGGACAGTGGAACTGTTTGCTGCATCGGCAGACAAGTTTCTATTTAAGTGAGGATGCACTGCGGTGTACCTGAGCACACGCTACCGCCTTAAAAACCAAATTACCTGCTTATCCAAACACCATCACTGAGGTAGTGCAGATGACTGATTAAAGGACCTCAATTAAATAAATGTGTCATCTTGATCTTGTTGCTATATCTCTTATTTCAAAAAGAAAAATGAAATGTTAGTAAAAATGTTTTGTAAAGGAGCAATCAAGACATTTTAAGTGTGAATAAAATTTCAGGATTTTAAAAATCAGCATGTATGACTTCATCTAGGATACATTCAGGGAAGCAAGATACTCAAGAAGCAGAAGAATTTCATAATAGGGGTGTCCTAAGGCATGGATCGGTATGGAAGCACTTTGGAGCTCTCTTTAATAATGCCCCCACTTTGGAACAACCTGTGTCAGGAGTGTATGGCATTTCAATATAAATTTCTTTTCTTCAGTGCAAGTCTGGCTGAAACAGAACTGTATCCAGGCAGAGGGTGTCATTTCATCTCTGTGTTCGGGGCTGAAGTTCAGAAAAAAAACTTCATAGTGTGTGAACCAATAATACAACATAACTAAAGCCAAGATTTATGTGGTAAACTATCAGGACAGAAGGACTCTGTGTCCATTGTTAATTATTTGTTAAGTATAATCATAGCCTCAGTGAATGTCATCACGAGTTTGCCTGGATTTTCTAGTCAGAGTTAAACTCTCCTCTAATTTTGTAGTTTTTACCTTTACTATTAACATAAATCACAGCAAAGATTTATAAATCCTTCTGGAGTTCTGTTTGTTTGTTTGTTTTAACATAGATGTATTAGTGATTATTTATAGAAATATGAATAAATTTAAGTTTAACAGTTCCTGTAGGTCATTTACATCTCATTGAAAGAGGATAGCGTACTGATGGAAAAAAGGAAAAAATAGTGTATTTTATTTTATAAAAATAATGTGTTTATTTCACATCATGTTTTTCAATTTGAACAGCAGTAAGTCATGCTTGAACAGTTCAAGTCATGCATGTTGGAAGAAGAAGCAAAGTACAGAAGAACAGTTAGAAAACATTACCTGAGTCACTGATCAGAGCCAGGAGCTAGCTAATTCTCTCCCTTTCACTGTCATTTTTTTGCTTAAAGGTAAAGTTTTTGTGAAAGATGTAGATATAGAAAAACAAAAGTCAGTATTCTCAGGTGATTTACAGTGTGAACAAGAAATCAAGTCACGTTATTTATGGAATACTTTATTCTGCCAAATAGGAATAGGACAAATTGTAGGTTCATAGATTTTTCTTAATTTCTGTTCAATATAATCAATTTTCCTTCTTGTTAATGGAGCTAAGGTTGGTATTTTTAACCTTTGTTTAGATTAGGAATAGGACAAATTGTAGGTTCATAGATTTTTCTTAATTTCTGTTCAAAATAATCAATTTTCATTCTTGTTAATGGAGCTAAGGTTGGTATTTTTAACCTTTGTTTAGATTCTTTATTTTGGTGGAAGATAGAAATTTGATTATTTTCTTTGGTTCTGTATGTGCTTATGATGGATTCAATTTTGTTGTCTTTTACTGTAAAAGTTAAAAGAGATGAAACCCATCGTATTTAATGATCTATATCACAACTACTTAGAAAAAAACAATAATTTGAATTTAGTCATTTGCAATATTTTGAATCAACTCTTCTTTCAAATTACAGATAAAATCTAGAATTTTAGTGGACTTCATTTTTGGTTCCTTCACTGGTGGTTTCCATAGAAGTTAGTGGGATAGGTGATACATTGTTCAATTTCATAACTTTTTTTCATAAGGAGTACTAGAATTCTGAAAATTTATTGACTTCTTATAAGACTCTAAGAAAGGATGGTTGAACTTTGATCCTTAGTAACAAAATGTAAACATATTGGTAAAATGGAAATAATCACAAGTGATCAGAGACATTGGGAAATGATGTGACATGTTACACTTCACCATGTTACAAAAAAGTGTCTGTACTTCACAACGATGTATGAGATGCATTGAAGTTGACACAGTAGTTGGATACTATCATCATTCTGAAAAACCTTATTTTGAGACTCGCTTTTTAAGACACAAACATTAACCTGAAGTCTCGGAGAAAGAAAAGTCCCTCCTTTTAGACTGCAGGCAGCTTTTGAAATGTCTGCCTGTTTTCATGGACCTTCTGGTTCAATGCACCACGAAAGCCAGTGTCTCTCTCTCATAAATAGTCCCTTTGATCTTCTGCTTTCAACTGGTCTCTATGTATCCCTCCACCCCTCAGAAGAATCAGGACTTGATGAGCATAGACAGAGCTTAAAGAAAGGCTGTGGAAAGGTGTATGGTCTGCTTTCTCTGTTCTCTGAAAACTCTGCCCCACCACCCCTGCCTCCTTCTCTAAATAGTTTCATAATGTCTATACCTGACCATTGTCTCTTACTCCGAATCTAACCTCTTATAAGAACTGTAGGGAAGGAACTATTTCTTTTACTTTACTTCTGTCTCTTCTAGTTCCTGGCACATGGTAGGTGTTCAAAATCTGCCGGCATTATAACATTCATAGTGACAAATATGAAACCAGTGGACAGCTAATTATCAGCTGACTCTACCGGCCACATAGGGATGCATGGATATAAAAATAAAATGGGAGGACCCCTTTTCATGGGTGATAGAGTCTTTATTTTGTAACCCTGCAAACTGGATGGATATTGTGGCATATTGACACTAACTCTGTGTACCTCCTTTGGTCTGGAATCCTCAGACGCTTACACCCTAGCTTTCATGATATCTTGATAGATGACTGTTGGAGTTTCCTGAAAAGTCACTTTCATTTTCTTCAGTTTCATCAAGGCTACAGTATCCTCCACTGAGCGGCCCCAGGAAGGGCTCATGCGCCTATGATACACTTCAGGGACACAGCACGCAAAGTCGGGACGACTTTGTCTGTCACCTTTGGTGCTTGTGTCATGCTGTTACAGGAACTTTCTCAATGCTGTCGGCCTTTGGTTGTTCTAACATGTTACTAAACAGAAGACTGAAGCAGTGTTGGAACTGTTACAGCAGAGATGTGCAGTGAAAGTTTCCCACTCAAAGACAGGAAACGCGATTTCATTCCCGGTATCTTACCAGTGGTGCAGCCTTTGGTTTCTTTTTCCCTGTCTTGTATGGTTGGCCTCTCCTGGTAACTTGTAAACTGTTCTGCAAAACATCACTAACGGGTTTGAGGACATTTTTATATGACCAAGAATTGACTAGCACTGACAAACCAACTATTTTCTAACTTCCTGGAGACTAGAGCTGATGCTTTATATTTTAATGATTCTCCATTTTGCACAGGAACTTATGAATAAGCAGGGCTCAATAAATTGTGATTAACTCAGATGCTATTTATTATGAGAGTCAGTGTCACACTGTCAAATTTGCGACAGGTGCTCTTTTGAATAAGCACTTCAATTTTTAGCTTAACAAAGAAATATAGGCAGATATAAGTATTGTTGCTGAACCCAGACATGAACAGTGAAATGCTTATTTAAGATAGGCCATTACATTAAAATTCAGTAGCTTTAGTGGGATGGGGAGGAGACCACATTAGGACCCTAATTTTTTCCTTTTCCACTATAAACTACAATGTTTAATTTAACATAAAAATTTTCATGTACATCTGTGTGTAAAGACAATGTTACTTTAACAATTTTATCAGAAGAGAAGCCTGTGTAAAAATGCCACTTGCATTACCCTTTAACAGAGGCTCATTATTACCTCCCCTACTGTGGAACAGGAGCCAGCCTAACTGCTAAATTGATGGAATTATCTTAGAAATATGAATTTGCTTATCATTTAGTATTCTCTGATAACCCACTGCTTGAAATCTTTTGATCTTTAGAGAAATCTTTGCATGTCACTACCTGGCTTCAAAGAAAAACATACAGAGGCTGTGTTATTGCTAATATGAGGAGAACATTTTTGAGAAGCAGAAAAAAAAATCTCTGCACTTGCAAAATTCATATTTTAGGATCAAGAGATAACCTCTCCACTGAAGAAGCAGAGTTAGACTGATTTTAATAATGTCAGAGTGGCCAATAAATGTATTAATAGAAAGAATTGAAAACCAATGAGCTGTGATAGTAATTACAGATAGTACCCAGGGGAAATATAGCAGGCAGACAAATCCTTTCCCTCAGGGCCTGCCCTGGGCAAAGCTGTGAAGTTGATAATTCTGCCCTCCTTCTTTTCTGTTAGCAATGTACTTTCTCCTTGAACTTCATTCTCCTCCACCCATGATCCAGACACCTTGACTCTGCTATGATGGGTCAAGGTGCCAGCAGATGACCAGTGCTAGCTGGGGGCCTCATTAACTGAGGTAAATGTAAAATGCTGTTCTCTCCAAGAGTTATTTGCATTTTTATAGGGTCAGTGCTTTGTTAATAGGAAC